AAGACAATGGCACAGATAGCTAATATGTAAAACTGACAGAAATGGAGGCTTCTGGAGGGCATTTCAGGAGTGGGCCAGAGCCCCTGTACTCTGTCTGGTGCTGGGGTGCCCTCCGCTCTGCTGTGGACTCCTATGCTCACCTCTCCCTTCACCCCCTAGGCAGGACAGGACTTGGTTTGCCCTTGTGAATTAGGGGTACTTTTCAGTCCTCACTCCCTGAGCCCACAATTGTGTCTTTTGGAATGACGGAGAGTATCCAAAGGGGGCTGTAAAGATAGGGAAAAATGCCTTATAGGGCTCTAGTTCAGGATCCCCACACTCACCAGGACTCTGCCCATCTCAGTGCATCCTGGCCACTTGCTGAGACTTTGGGGACAAGTCCAACTCCCTCTTCCTTGGCACTCATCAGTTCTAGGACCCCAAGGATGAGAGAGCCTCTCCCAGGCCTGAGGGAGCTCTGGGAATCCTACCCAGGCTTTTCCACCTGCTTGCCTTCCTCCTTGGGAAAGCAGGGAAGGCCAAAGGTTTCCTCCTCTGGAAACACCGGTGGAAGCCAGGTGGTCTGGGATGTGCCCCCACCCACTCCTGCCCAGCCTCTGGTTCTTTGATTCCGAGACAGCTACCCCCAATAGGGTCCCCTTCATAGACCATCTCACCCCAGCTCAGACTCTAAAAATGTTTCTCTGGTTTTCAGTCTCAGAGCCTGCCCACAAATTAGTGTCTCTAACTCAGCCTCCTGGGACATGACTTCAGGGAGGCCTGGGGAGGGGGCAGGAGACCTCCACACAAGAAGATAGTTCTGGCAGAATCCCTTTCTAAAGAGAGCTGGTGTGGGGGACCCCTCAAGAAGACCACCTGCCTCAGTGGGACAGTTCTTGCTATGGTAGAGGAACCTGTTTCCACTCATCTGGAGCACACTCCCCTCTCCTCACACTTGTGCCTTCATCAACCCTCCTGGGCACTCTTCTGCTGGGGAACACAACTAAGGAAGAGACTCCCCGCCCCGTGTTCCCCCGTTTTCTTCCTCAGGATTCACAGCCCACTTTGCCAGGCCTAGATTCCAACACTGAGCCTATGCGGGTGGAGAGCACCTGGGAAAGAGCCGAGAGGCCCTGGCTCACTCCTTGCCTAGCCCTTAGTTTCCTAAGGACTCTCCTCTGCTCCCCAGTCCTTCAATCTTAGACTTGGAACGGGAAGAGCCCTCCTGGGATGCTCTTGTCCAGGGCACTAAACGGTATTTGTGGGGTAGGCAGCCATCAGGAATAGCAGGAATAAACAGGTGAGTACTCACAGGTAAGCCGTCAGGGGGTCCAGGTCCCCTGGCACCACTGAGAGCCCAAGCTCGGAGCAGTCAGCTGACAGCATGATGCCGTCCTCCTGGCAATGGCAGGGAGCTGGGCAGGCAGGACGCCCTGGGCCAGGCTGGGGGTCGCTGCCTGCGAGCACCGAGGCGCACAGCACAGCGCAAAGCCACAGCGTCAGGAGCCTCAGCGGGCTGTGCATCTCGGCGGCGGGCTGCGGGGGCACCT